TTTTTTTTCTACTTTAACCCTATAATTATTTCTTTAACTTTAATTATTTATCTTCTGATTGAAGTAAAATATTTATTCTTAGTTATTTTTTAAGTATAAAATAGGTAAAGATATAAATTGTTTTCAAATCCTTCATTTGAAGATAAAACAAAAAATCTTTTATTCTAATATGGGGGGAATAATATTTAAGTAATGAAACTTATTGATTTTTTATCATCACAAAAAATTATATAATTTCCTTTTAGGATTTATAGTTGTTGAGATTACAAATAAAATTAAATATTATAATAATATTGAAGTTATATTGAAATTATATGGAATAGAATTGGATCAAAGTAAAAAAAAAATGAAAATAAAAAGGAAAAGAAAGTGTAGATTCATAAAGGGAACATATATGAACCCTATAAAAGGAAAAACCTTGAATATAGCCATATAGAGAAAAGCAATAGGAAGATAAAGTAGTATAAAAGGAAGATAAACTAATATAAAGTGTAATTAGCTTGTAAAAGGGGAAAAAAATTGTTTAATTGTAGAAAGTGGTAGAGTGAAGAGATAGAATATTGTCGTATTTTATTTTTGCTAACCTCACCTATGAAGGTGGAGAATCTCTTCACCCTACTAGCAACAACAGAAAAAGCATTTTCTGTCATGAAAATAGTGAAAACAAAACTTAATAGCAAAATGGGGGATGAATTCCTTTTAAACTCTTTGATTGTTTATATTGAAAAGGAAATAGTTCAGTCATTTAATGTAGACTCTATTATAGATAGATTTTGTGACATGAAAACTCGTTGAATATTATTTTAATTTATGATATAAAGTAAATTTTCAAAATTACAATGCATTATTTTAAGACTTGAAAGGGCGATCCTCTGACTAAAATTCCTAACTCCGCCACTGCTTATAACATAATACGTCATTATATAATCAATTCTTTTTATTCAAAAATCCATTGGTGATATTTTATGTATTTATTTGTTTAATATCACATTATGTTTCATTTAATATCACTTAAAATTATATATATAATATTCTAATTATAATATTGTAGATTTATAAATATTGCCTGTAATATCCCAAAATTTTGGGGTATTTTAGCATTAAGTAAGGGACTTATTTGAGGGAAAATATTGTTTTGGGGGTTAATCGTAAAATTTTAAAAAGTTAAGGGGCTAAAAAGAAAGGAAATTTGGATAAGGATCAAGGCTGATATTTTTGTCCTCAGCCACGTGTTTTGCTTTTCTTCATCTTCATTTTTCTTCTCCCCGATGCTCTGCCTCCCCGACCAGCCCCCCCTAAGCCACCGACATCTTCCTCCTTTGAAAACCGATAGAAGACTTGAAATTTCTTCTTTCCTTCTTGTTCAAGAACTGATTTTGGGGCTTAGAACTCTCATTAAACCCAGAATTTTCCCCAGATCTGCTCGGTCTCTTCCTCCCCTGTCCGTCGGGTTCTGCTGGGTGTGGATCCTTCGGCTTTTCTGGTAAGCCACAACCATAAACTTCACCTTTTTAACTTGAATTTGGCTTGGGTTTACCTTGAATTGTGTTTTGGTTTTTGGATTGAGGTAGCCGTGAGTTTCCCCTGAATTTTCTGCATATCCCGCCGGCCTCCTTCCCAAACTGCAGCTCCGGTTTCCCTTGCTTGTAAATTCTGGTATGGACAGCTTCTCTAAGTCCAGATTTTACCCCTATAATTGCTGAATTTTGTTTGTCAAATTGCTGCCTTGTGTGTGTCCAAATTGTGCCGGAAATGGGGAGGAATTCCGGTAGCAATTAACAGCATTTTAAATGTGTTTATGCTTGGTTTATGTAGGAATTTTGTTAATTGGGCTGTTGTGATGTTGTGTAGGAGTAACCCCGTGACTTAGCCATTGTTGGCCAAAGCCGTGGGTCTCCATTGCTTGTCCGGGAAATTGGAATGAATTTTGGTAGATTAAGTTATGTTTTTAAGCTTGGTTTAAGTGTAAATTAGCTTGAATTTGGTTTTGATGATTTTGGAGAAAAATCCCGTGAATTAGCTAGTGTTTTGGCCAATTTTTGGACGTTGGAGTTACTGTTCACGTTGTAGGTACTGTTCACGGGTACTGTTCATAGGCACTGTTCACACACCGAGGGTTAACGATTAGCGGAGATTTAAAGGTTTAGTTTGTGATATAAGAATGAATTTGGAGATGTTCGGTTATGTGGAGATTGATAGAAATAGCACTGTGATTAGGGATAGTGCTAATGATGATTTTACTGTGAATTTGTGGTAGTGGGGTATTAACTATGGAATATTGTGATTAGGTTTTGATCGTTCTATCACCGTAGCACTTGGGTTAGCCTTCTGTTCTGTGCGAGTGAGGTAAGTAAATTATGGTAAAGCGCTTCGATTTTAAAGCATGTTTTCAATTGTTTTTGAGATGGTGGCAAGGTGCAAATTGATTTTAAATTGATTTATCCGCATCTGTGTGTGATTAAACTGAAATGAAAATTGTGATGATTTTTATGAAAATCATTGTTTTCTGGAATTGAGCATGATTGGAATGAAAATGGGAATTTCGTTGTTTTTCTGGAATTAAGCATGATTGGAATGAAAATGAGGATTTTATTGATTTTCTGGAATTGAGTATGATTGAAATGAAAATGAGCATTTCATTGTTTTTCTGGAGTTGAGCATGCCTATTTGGAAATTGACTAAACTGTTTTGATGAACTGAGACTTTGGTAAATTCTGAGTTTTTCTGTTAAATCCATGCTCATATGGAAATTTTCTAGTTTATTTCTGAAATTTGAAATTGATTGTGAATTACGGATTTTCTGTAAATTTTGCATGGTTTTGTCTCGGATATAGTCATGATTACTGATTACTGTGCCCGCTAGTGGGAGGTTTATAAACGCTAGCACATGTCGACATGTTTACTGATAGAACCGGTTCATCTTGCCAATGGGATAATACATTGGCAATTACTGTCGCCTACCAGTGGGAGTTGTAAACACTGGTACTACTGACGCCTACCAATGGGCGAATACATTGGTAATTATTGTCGCCTGCCAGTGGGAGTTGTAAACACTGGTACCTTACTGTCGCTTGCCAGTGGGAGTTGTAAACACTGGTACTTCTGTAACCTTGCCAATGGGGTTAAACATTGGTAACTACTGTGCCTGCCAGTGGGAGGTTTATAAACACTGGCCATGACTTATAGATGAGACTATTGAACTGAGTTTTCTTCTGCATTAACGGTTTGTCAGGAAATGTTTTGTTATTGAACTGAATCTGATTTTGCATTGACGGTTTTGTCATTGAACGTTTTGCTATTGAACCAAATTTGATTTCCGCATTAACGGTTTATCAGTGAAAGTTCTGTTATGTTTACATGGTTTATCTGGCATGCTTAAAAGTTTTACCCAATGACTACCCATATTTACTTACTGAGTTATCTCATAGTTTTTCCTTGTCCATCGTTTCAGGAAGCGAAACCGAGGACGGGAAAATCGAGAGGAGTGACGAGTTAGAAGGCTAGTCATTTTGTAAAGTGAATATAAATTCGAGATATAGATCATGATCTTGTAAATTAAAGTTTAATTGGAGATCGTATAAATTCATTTAGCGGATTGTTAGTTTACAAGAAATTTGACTTGAAGATTTTGAGATTAAATTATGTTGGACATGGAATTATTTTGGAGATGATTGATTTGAGTTATTGGATTGTCATATGTGATTTGAATAAGTTCTGAGCCTTGGGCGCTTATGGGATCCGTCTCACGAGTGCACGGCGTCTGTCGCACCTCGCATTTGGGTTTTGGGGCATGACATTGCTACTCACCCCTAGCTCGGATGAGGAGGTGAGCCCATTATCATGCCATGTTTTTTACTTTCCGGTGATGGATTACATCATGGGAATAGCAATATCAACATCAGACTTTTATGGGTACCAGAATATAAGCTCAAGGAGGAAACAATAAGCATATTATAATATTTCTTTCCCAAATAAGACACAGAAAACATAATAAGAGTAAGCAGTGTAGCTTTCGCAACTTTATTATAGGAGGTAAACTTTTAATTTTCTTAATTAAGTAGTTAAGTTTGTCAAATTTACTAATACTCCCTCCGGCAGTTTATAGTTGTCCTAATTTTTCAACTTTATCTAAATTAATTTGATAATTTTATAGAGTAAATAAATGTTAATTAATTAAAATTATTTTTTATTTAAGTGAAAATACTTAACATGAAATATGCATAGAAGAAAAAAAATTTTCAATTACTACTTATTTAGTTTATAAAATCATCTGATCAAATTTTCTACAAAAGTTAAACTAAGATAACTAAATTCAACTAAAAGGAGTAAACAAGAAGTTATTAAACGTGAAATATTAATTAGACTAAGGTTTCATTTGTTGAGT